ATGGCTCCTTTGCTATAGCAGGAGCAGATTTGCTAAGGGGAGGACATGTCCAGTCCTTCTTTTCACTGGCAGCCAGGTTGCTCTGGCTGGGTGAAATGTTTACACTAAGATGTGCAATCTAGCTTGGATTGTACAGCCCTTCATATGTACAACCATAGAATGGTTTGGATTGGAAAAGACCTTAAGATCATCCAGTTCCAGCTCCCTGCCATAGTGTTGCCAATCCAGCCACTGCAGTTTTATTCTGCCCCCCTGACTGTAATGTGACAAAGGTGTGTGGTGCTAGCAGTCTTAGAGAGGTGCAGCTCACCCATCACCTCCACCTTCTCCAAACATATAGCCCTCTGAATCAGGACAGGGGTTGGTTTGTTACATTAAATCAAGACCACAAGGTTAAAGTGACATAGATGGAAGGGACAAAGCACTTTATTCCAGTTAGGCCTTCAAAATCAGATCGTCTGTCAACAAGTTGTCGGGAGGAGAGAAGTGGGGAAGGGGAAGGCAGGACACATCTTAGGGCCACTCAGGACCCTTTATGTAGGTTGTGGCCATTTAGTCTTCAATAAAAGGTGAATGCTTTCCATAGCAACCAGGGCAGCCGCCTCTGAGATAGCCATTGCTTTAATAAAGACAGATGTTGGCTGGAGAAAGTCTTAACAAACACATGTAGAGCTTTGCGGTGCAGTCCAAGCAAACAATCACCTTGAAGAAGTCATGTTTTCCTGGGAAGGGTGTAAGAGCTAATGCAGGATGCTGCCAGCTTTCCCTGCCTCTGCTGCGTGCTCGCTCCTGGAAGCTGCAGGTATCTAAGTGGTTGGAGCCAGGTGTTATTTAATGGTGTAAGCTGTTAGAGCTTGTCCCAAACTCCCCACATGCACATCAAATCACTGCTTTCCTGAAATCTTATGCCTGGCTGGTGTTGCCCTGAAATGCACCTTTTTGCTTTAATCCCCCTAAATCTTATAGAAAGATGCAGTGTCTCTTTGCTTGGGAAGTCTGGGGGATGCTCAACAAATCTGTGGGTTTTTATTCCCTTACCCCAAGAACATGTCAGGGTCCCTTACGGTAAGCAGGTTTGGATACAAAATGCTAGCAGATCTACCTCAAAGAGGATGCTCTGATTTTTAAGATCTGAAGCAAAAGGTTTCTTGAGGAAGTATTCGATTAGTCACCAATGAATTACAGTTGTCAAGTGTTATTCACCCGTAATGAGAGTGAATTTTTCACTCAAGTTTCATAGCAAAATAACATTCTTTTTTCAAATAGAAGTAATTTCAATCAAGTAAGACCTTCTAATACCACTATCTGTACAAGTAAATTACTTTCAGAGTAATTAAATATGCATATCTGGGCTGTATACTGTACTGATGAAACAAGCTTTATGGATGCAATATGCTTATAAATCCCTTAGGTATTAAAGATGAAGAATCCATGGCATTTTGCATTCATAGAGCCATGAATAAGAAAAAAGAGATATTTTTTTCCTATTGCATCATTTTTGGGCAATATCTTTTTTTTATTAACTTTTCCTGCTTAATTAATATCTTTTGCCAAATACGATCCCCATATTTATTAGGCTGACATTTCCCGGAGACTTAAAGCTCTGTAAGAATTTCCAGCATTGTATGTGCCTGGATTTATGATCGTGACACAGGCGCCCATCTCCTGCAGGTTCCCAGGAAGCAGAGCAGTGCAGTGAAACTGAAATCACTATGTTGCCTGAATTCCCTACCGCTGGACTTGCCCCACTATGAAATAGCACTGCTCAGCCAGTTGGGATTCATGGGCACAGCCCTTCATGGGATCATCAGCCCAGAACAAACACAAATACAGAAAGGAACAATAACAGTGGTGTGCATCTGACCTATTCTCCCACCTTGCAAGACTTTGTCATGGGTACCAGAATAGCGACTGCCTGTTTGTGGTTGTGCAAATGGGACAGTTCGTTAAAACTGGAAAGGAAAGAGAAGCCAAACCTCAAAACACGGCGCTGCTGGTGGAGTCTTCAGTGACTAAATGCGTTCTTTATGCTCACAGTACATTATGCATGATGTATGTAAAACACCAGTGTAGAGGGGAGCTTAGGAGGTTTGCTGAGAGCATCTGAGTACTGCAGAAATGTTTGGTTAAAGAAATGCCTGGAGCCAGTTCTGCAGAGCTCTTCAGAAGCAGCCTGAAATCCCAGCTGGTCACCCCTTCCAAAGCAGCAAGCACAACTGTCTGCTGCTACCCAAATGCAAGAGTGAATTCAAGCATCATGACATGCCGTCAGTACAACCTCTGCTTGCAAGTCAGCTGCTTTGTGCTGCACAACATGACTGATCCGTAGATATTTTATGCCAATACAACGTTTCTTATGAAAGACAAAGAGATTCCCTGTTGGGAACACATTTAGTCTATGTGAAGCACTTTTATCTGCTCAGGAGGCTGGCAATGGACATAGGACAATAGATCAATTCTTTCTGTACTCCTAAGGTAAAATAAGAAATGGTGACCTGAAATGCGTATAAAGAGGGAGTGACAAGGACTTGATTTCTCTCCTCTAAGCCCTGTGCTAACACGTGTGAACCAGCAGATTATGTTACCCCTTCGGGACCTGCTTATGTGTGTTTTAGGTTATGCTTTGTGATAGATGGACTTAGATGTTTCTGTAGCCAAGATTAAAACTAGTAGAAATGTGTGTCAGTTGACAGTCCACAAAGTATTGAAGGTTGAACATCATTTTTGACCTAGGATAAGGTAATAATTTGATGAAAGATTCAGTTGCATCCAGTCTAATTGTGCACATACGTTATGCTGGAGGTAGCCACTCTCTGCATGTGCTTTCTTAATCTGTCCTTTGGGTGTCTTGTTATCTTTGTCTCCATCCTGTCCCTGAACCCCAGCCTGCAAACCTCAGCATCTCCACATGCTCTGTTTTCTGGAGCTACCACTGGAAGACAAAGCCACCTTGTTTAGCAGATTTTCTGGCAGGGTTGAAGTTGGAAAGGAAACAAAAGTGGGAATTTGGGTGTGGATATGCTGAGTGAATCCTTGAGAAATAGGCTTTGGCAGGTAGCTGTGTGGGATTGCTCCTAGGAGGGCTGTATATAAGTCTTTTATAGTACTATTGATCAGACCTGATTTGCAGGTCAAGGTTTGGCCTGTAATAGACCATTTATACAATAATACTGCTTTTAGGCAGGGAAGTCCAGATTGGAATTTTAGGAGGGTCCTATAGCAACAGCCCTAGGTCATATGCAAAAGAAACTATACATATTCAAGAAGGGAAAATTACAATGTGGATCTCTGTTCAATTCCTGAATGCATGCATGTTTGTGACCACTTTGCCAAGTTGAAGTCCAGGTTTGTGCCAAAGCATTCTCAGATCAGCATTATTAGTGTAATGTAGCACAATTCCCAGTAATTAGGAAATGGATCTTCTTGTGTGCTTGAAAATGCCATGGTAGGACAAGGACATTAAAATCTTTTCTTCCATTGTCATGGTCTCTTGGGTTTAGGATGTCTCCAGTTCTCACAGAGGCTGGAGCATTATTTTCCATACCCTTTTTCCCCCATTTAGCTTCTAGGTACTTAGACAAAATTGAGGGAAGAAGCCTTACCTGAGAACCTTTTTAGTGCTGTGCTTTTAAACCTTTAAAAGCTTTTGCTGAAAAGGTACCTATTTTCTTATCACTTCTTTTTTTTTCCCTCTCCAGAAAAAGGGCATCATTTGAAGTTCTTTTTTGGCAGCTGTGTTTCATCGTGATGCATTATGTCAGGGCACATCAGTTACACGACCATTTTATGGGAAGAAAACCCCCACCCTTTTAGATGACCCTGCCTACAGCCCCCTTGAAAACACAAGTGTGTTTTTCAAGGAACTCTTCTGCTATCAGCAGCATTACTATACTTGGAACTTCATGGGTGTAGTGGCTTTGTCTTGATTATGTAAATGCTGCTTAAGGAACATAGAATTTAATGTGATGAACTGCAAAAATGTTGTCATTTTCACCTTTTACCGATGTTTACTTTTCAGTATTGGGTTTCTTCTCTTTGTAATCAAACTAATCCCGTGCTCTTCCAGATTTTACCATCAAATGCATTGAGATGAAAATGAGGTACCTCGATGAAAGTGGGCTTCAGGTGTCGCGCACTAAGCATTGTGCGTTTCTCTTTGCTCTGATCCTCCAGCACACATCAGATCTCACCTCTTCACCTTTGAACAAGATTGCACTAACTTTGATCTTTTCAATTCTGCTCAACTCCAGGGAAGGAGCAGCGACTTGAAACCGTGTTATCATTTATACCGTCAGAAAGGAGGAGAAAAAAGAGGGGAATTGAAAGCATGAACTAAAAGCTGTAGATTTTGAACATGACTGTCAGCTTTTGTAGTGAGGGTGTTATGTTTTAACATCAAACGCTGCCTCTGTGTGTAGAACAAAACAAAATGTGGATGATTGTAAAAGCACACAGATTTATTAAACAGCTATTCCATTTTGTGTCAGCATTTTTCCGCCCGAGCGATGCGGCTATCCTTTCGCAGGTCAAAGCGTAAGCTTGCTGCTTTGCTTATGGCCCAAGCCTGTTATTTGAGCCTCTCTACTTCGGTGATATTAATTCATGATACTGACAGTTAATCTGGTTTTATAACTGTTATTATCTGAGCAAAATAACCAACTCTGTTCTTTATTTTATCTTCAAGTCTGAGGATGGTAACAGTGGGAACAAAGTCAAAAGCATGGTATTTTTAGGACCTTACATGGTTTAGCAATGTTCTTACACTGATTGCCACTCACTATGGTGTGTTTTGCTATTATTTTGGTGTTATTAGGGGGTATTTTTTGCTGTTGCAAGACAGATTTTCACCTAAATACTTGATTTTCTGTCACAGAACCCTATTTTAAACTGCCCTTTACCTTCTGAAGAACAACGTGGCTGTAAGGTTTGAGGGAGTTTCGTCAAAATTATTCTTTTAAAAAGTGATCAAAGTTAATATTTTTGTCTGTTTTCTTGCCCAGTTTACTTGGACTTGCATTGTTCCCTCCCTCTTTTTTTCTGCTGAGACTGCAGTTGTTCAGGGATGTTCATGGTAAGTAGCTCTTTGTGTCCATCCTCTGGCTTTATTCTGGGGTTGGTTTTGCGCAACAGTGCAAATGGGAACAGTTTCCCCCTTCTAGGATGTGCTGTTCTTTGAATTCGCTTCCATTAACAAGCTGTTGGAAGCAAGTTAATGCCACATTAATTTACTCTAACATCTGATCCTTCCTGCCTATTCTAAGGGTTGCTTAGACAACAAATCATCTCCTAAACGGTATCTCATAAAGGGCCTGAATCCCCCTTCCCCCCAGACTGGTGCAACTGTGATTATTAATTCAGAAGAATAACTTACGTGACACTAAAATGTTGGCCACAAAAGGAATAAAGTGAAAGATGTTAGCATACTATATATGGTTAAAATTATTGACAGAGCTAATCTTCACAGAGATCCTTGAGGCTGTTACTTACAGGGACCAAGTAATACATTTTCAATTCAACAGCTCCTTTCCACTCTCCTTTTTCTATGCAGTTTTCTGGGTGTCAGGAATCAGGCATGTCAAGTCACGTTTCATCCTCTAGTTTCCCTGAAAACATCTATTTACACGTTTAAGCTACTGGATGTATGTGCTGATAAAGGCGTTTGCCTACTCACTCCTTCTCAAGGAGCCTTTGATTTCTTATGGGCTAAAGCTTCGTTGGGTCTTCTGTTTGCTACTTCTCATGACTCCTTTGTGTCTGATTTTTCTAGGCTAATCAAATAAGTTGCTTTCAAAAGTACTTGATTTTCTAGCCCCACCATCACATACACCTTTTGCAGGTAAGCTTTACTTCTAAGCAACTTCTACAGTGGCCATGGTCACCAATGGATTGACACCTACTCGAGCATCACCTTGGGAGGATTGTGTTGGAGCAACCTGGGCTCTTTGGTAATACAGGACATTGGCAGCTGTAGCAGAAAACAGGGTTCTCTTAACAAATGACAGGAACAGGGGGATAATGCCAGTGTGAAATCAGGTAAGTGGAAATGGCCTAATCAGAAGTATTCCTGAAAGAACAATTACTCACTGTCAATTTGGGGGAGAAAATAGGACACACTGTAAAAGCTGACCCTCTTCATGCGTGCACTGCTGCAGTGTGTGTCCAAATATCATCTGCAAGTGAGACACAGGCTATTGCTTGCAGACCTCAGGGCCAAGCAAATCCTCTTTTATCATCTCCAGGGTACTCAAACTTGTGGTTTAGTGGGGTTTTGGGGTAAATATCTCAATCCAAGTTTAGGAACATCACTTCAATGCTATACTTTCTTTCCATTTTCCTATTTTTTTCCAGGAAAAAGTACAAAACCAAATACTCAGTCTGCAAGACAAAGATTACTCATTACAGCACAACACTGAGTTCTTTTAGTAATGCATTATAACTTTAATATTCCAGACTATGTATAGAAACCAGTATAGTATATAGAACAGTACCTCTCTTAAAGGCACTATTAACTATATATGTATTTTTTAGAGGAGTTGGTAGTTAAAAGCTCTCCTTATTGCACTGAGGAAGTAAAATCCACACTTGTTAGGCTCTTATTTCATCCTCTTTCCTATAGTCTCACCTTTCTGGCCCTGCTAACTTTCATGTCCATAATGAACTCCATTTAGCTTCCCTGCAGTAGGACCTTGGCTTTGTTAATCACTGACCCAGCGGCATGAAGCTGCATAGGAGAGCAGGTTCCCAGTTTTTTTTCCTGGGGGATTTTCACTTCTTCCTTCAGCAGTTGTAACTTCTAAGGAGCTGCAGAACAAACATGTAGAAAAGATCAGGAAGAGGGCCTGAGCAAAATAAGGTTTAAAAGATGCCTCATTGTGCTCAGTCCTCCACTGGCTGACGGCTGCAGATTGACGGCTGCAATCTCAGGAGGAGTTAATGAGATTAGTTCTTTGGCAGCTGATTGCTCGATGCTGTCTTCTCATTCAGCGGTGTCAGTCTCTTTTCCTCTTTTCAGTAACCACATATAAACTTCTCATGGAGATCAGCTGGGACCTCATGGCAGAAACCTCATTTAAAACAACCGCTAATGACTTCACCTTGGGCCAAGTCACAGCACAGCAGCCACCTCCTCCTCCTCCTCCAGCCCTGCTGGGAGTCAAAGGCATTTTCTGGGCTGAATGACCTCGAGCCTCTTCCTGTTACCCCTTCTTTGCTTGGCTCAGCATGTGCATCCCTTGCTCTTTGTAAATATACCTGCATGCTCATCTTAGCACTATTCCTTTTTCTCAACCAGCTGGAGGTACTGGTCCCTTCTTGGGCATTGAGACTCACATGTTTTAGTTCATATATGCCTATAGTAATTTTCCAGCTGGGGATTTTTTCCACCTTTTCTATATATGTATATATATATAAAAGGTTAATATGTTATGTACGTGCTACTCAGCTACTGGTGCATTTCTCAGGGCTAATTCCTTTCTGCCTGTGCAGGCAGAGTGAGGGCAAGTCAGGTGAAAAAGTAGAGTAGCAACAATTCATACTTGGTTTGCTCTGGCATAAATGACCACTGGATTTGTGAAGCAGTGAAGAATCAGCCCACTGTGATTGAGAGCACAAACACAACATGGTTGGAAAGGCCCAGCTTGGGTGTTGTGCCTCCCTTCTAAGATGACATGCTGATAGACGTGATGATGTGCTTCGGGTCATCAGACTGCTGGAGACTGTTTGTCCTTTCCTCAGAGGGTTTGTGAGATTCCCTAGGATGCTGCAGGGACACCTTGTGTGTTTGGTTACATGGAGAACCTCTGCTGGGAAACAGTGATAGAAGTGTGGGGACAGCAGTCCTGTTAAGGGACTGGAAAGGTGCTGGGATACCTTCCAGTACAGAGCCATCACCCTTTTCTGTTTCTTTTTCATATTAAACACCATGAAACAAAGCTGCTTACTCTGTGCTACCAATCATCTCCCTGATCTTCAGTCTCCTTCTAAAAGGCTGCATCAGCCTTTCCCTGTACTGAGCAGTAGATTTGAGGACAAGCTGAAAACAACAGGGTGTAAGATGGGGAGCACACAACCCTGAGTGCTGTACAATTGATGCGGTGACCCCCGTTTATACGTTCAGCAAGGTGGTCTAACATGCACATAACTTCAAAGCATGGCCTGTTAAAATGGGGGTGGGGGGTGGGGTGTGTGCGTGCTATTTGTGTGTATAAATACATGTGCATGTTAAAGTGCTCTGCTGGGTTGAGGCCAGGACATTCAACAATGTGCAGATGTCTCCAAAGACAAACTGCAAGACAAGCCACAGTCAGTCCCGGTTACATGGAGCGCAGTCCAGCTTTTCAAAGGCTGCTTTTGATAATTAGGTATTTTGTGTACTGTGGCAAGACGTGAATTATCAAACCACTAAGAATAATGTAGTTCAGGCAGGGTGGCCTTGAAACAAGACCCCTAGCAGGGAGGTTGTGCTGTATAATGGTAGTACAGTACCATTTGTTTCAACACATTTAGCGCTTCAGAATGGGATTTTTCTTGTTAAACACCAGATGTTCTACTGACCCAAGTGCTGACTTTAAAAGAAGACACAATAGAGTAGTGCGTCAAGGTCAACAGCACAAATTAATCTGTATTATCATGCTGTCATATTATACCATATGCCCTATATGAGCAAGATCTATGGCTAGTGCTTTCCTTACATGCAACTCAATGGGTGTTTCAGAATAGAGATTTTGAGCTTCCCAAGCCCTCAAATACCCCTGAAAGAAAACTGATTCTTGCTTTGACAGTTTAAATCGTAAATGGAACATCCGTACAGAGGGTACTTGATGTGTGGGAATGTAACTGTGATCTCGCAGCACTGGAGAGACACACAGCATCGCGATGAAAAGTACGTCTGTTCATTGTGGATTCTGCATTTAAGGACCTTTCTTTCTTTGGGTTGCTTGGTTGCCTGCCTTTTCCTCTTGGCTTAAGAGGTTTTATAGGGCACAAAGGGAATAATCATTTACAAACATTTGAAGGAGTAATACCTGAAATAGGTGCTTTTGTCTCCGTGATCCCCTGTATCCCTCCTCTTCCCTGCCCTGTGACTTCTAAGCTATTGCTGCAAGATGGCAGGATGTCAGTGCCCCCAAAATTGAACCCGTGATTTGTTTTTGTTTGATTTATGGGCTTGTAGTCAATAAACTTTATAAAGGAAAGTATCAGGCCAAGCAATCAATCAAAGATAAGCAGATTCTTGTCCTTTAAAAGCATTTCACCCCGGTAAGCAAGCGCCTCATTCATCTTTTACAACCGCTCTTGCAGCTTTCAGCTCAGAAAGGGCTTGCTGCTGACTACAGCCCCTTCTGCTCAGAAGGCTTGCATCTGAGCTGAGGCTTTTTAAACTCATTGCAGCAGTGTGCTCCCTTCCCATGTTACTTGCTATCTCTAAAAGGGCAGATTGTTTGCATGTTGTTACTGAAGGTAAATCTCCTCGCTGTGTAGAAAGCAAAAGGCTTGTGTTTTAAACCATCAGAGGCATGGGCTGCTGTTTGGCAGAAACACAATTCATTTTCTTTGTTATTTCACAAAACAAAACGTAACACACGATTCCCATTTGTTCTTTTAGTAGTAGAAATCTGAATTTCCCTTTGATTGAGGCGAACGTTATCCTGCGTGTTTTGCTTCCCTGAAGCACAGATGGTGTGCATATGCAGATTGGTGATTTTCTAATCAATACAGTGACGCTTGGGAATATATGTAAGTATTGTAATAATGCATTAGTCAGGAGTGATGTTGTAACACACTGAGATCATACACATAAATCTAAGGCACCATGTCTAGACACCCCAGGGAAGATGGCATGCCATGGGTTAGAGCAAGCATTAAGGACATGCAATATTTCAAATATGATGGGAAAATAATGCAATTTGCAGACTTTAATAAAACCATTGGGGAATTAATTTCGCTAAGGGGACACTCGCTCCCAAAACATCCACGTTCCTGCGTTTGCTGCATGGATAATCAGAACGAGACACTTTACCTGCTATCTCAGGCATAAACACAGTGCAGGATCTGTGAATTGTGCTGTATCTTTAATGCGCTGAATATGAAAATAATCCCTTTATAGGTAGAGCTTTAGTGGTATAAAACTGCATTATGCAAACAATGCAGAGGCAGCATCAGCCTCGGAGATTCAAAAGTTGAAGAGCTTATAAATTAATCTCGTAAGTGTGGATTTGAGCATGCTCAGGGAGTGCGCTCTGCTGTGAAACCTGACCAACCTCACCCTCCCCATTTTAATTATTAGCTTTTTGATGATCCAACATTAAAAGAAGACGTGATTTATGACTCTTTGCATGTAGAAGTTTCCTTTCTGTGAAAACATTATGTTTTATGAAGCATCTTTGCTACCTCTGGCTGCTTTTGGTTATTTTCTTGTCTCTGCAAAGCCCTTGGCATATAATTTTCGTCAGCCAGCCTCCTTTCGTGTATTTTTGCCAGCTGATAACTACTCGCAAGTAACTTGTGGTACCGCACCAGGAAAGTTGTGATAAAAATGTCAATTTAAACCTGGCCAAGGATGACAATCATAACTATTTCCAAGTGAGAAACTTGAACAGAATACATAACACAATAGTACTTTTTGCTTTCTGCCAGTGAAATACATGCTGGAACTCGAGAGGTGCCTGTAATGATAACCCTTGCAGTCAAAACCCCACTGAAAAGTTGGCTGAATTGGTAGCTCCATCAGCCTCATCATCTCTCATCACCTGAAAAGCTGAGGGTAGGAAATCTTTACCACACCTGAACGTATTTAATTAAAATATAATCAAGTTGAATGCTGTCTGTAATCAATTCCATTAATTCTGCAGCTATAGGAATTAGTGAATGAGGGAGCTCAGGTTTTGCAAATAGTGACAGTGGTTTATATCCTAACTGAACTGTGTTTCAGGGAATAAGAGGTGCCCATGTTGGCATGGAGCAAACCCAAACATGTCAGTGTTTTCTCCTCCCATCGTCACTTTGTTCTTCTCTACTCTGTAAAGACACTCACTGAGTCCTGGTTTTGGTCAATCATCTAATGTGAAGATACTTTGAACCCAGAACCTGAAGTGTTGAGACATAAGTGATGTATTAAAATGCACAAGAGATTCTTGGGAAAGGTGGGATGTCAGAGCTGGGACCATGGCATGGCAACGGTGCTGCAAAGCTTCTCCACAGACAGACCACCACCTCCTTCGGAAAGTAAAGCACCACTTACACTTAAGCTCTTCCCATTTCAAAGTTAGGTTTCATCTTCTAGGACCTTCAGGAAATCTTCCCATCTAGCTGGTGCTACCTTATTATTATTATTAATAATAATAATTTGTTTGCACAGTCATCATAATAACTCTATCAGTAGTATCATCCTGTAACCTTATTTTTGCCCTCAAGTAATCTTTTCTATTATCTTCCTCTTTTCCTTCACTTTCCCTTACTCAGGCACTTGATCTTGGTTGAGTTTCTGCTGTGTTTCTATCATCACTTCATCTGTGTTTATTATTTTCATCCTTTATGTCACAGTATGCAAAGTCCATCCAGTATCAAGCACACTAACGTTTTAATTTGGAGATGGTTTTGCTAATATCAGTCTTTGTGAAGGAAATAATTATCAGGTTCAATAAATATAATCTTCACCATTGGCTAGAATAGAAACCAAATCCTGGATTCTTCCTTTCTGTGGCAGCTACTGTAATTCAGTTTTAGCCTTTTCTCCCTATTAGATGGATCTTTGCTGTATCTCTTGGTATGTATGGGGAGCTTGCACACAGCAGCTCTGGGTCATGCACATCTTAGTTTATAACTCCTGCCTGCATTCCACCATGTCTGCCCTTCAACTTGCATTCCTCCTCTTCCTCATGGAGATCTGCAGTCAGAGGGAATGGGCACAGAGCCCCCACCGGACTGTTGGAGATGATCATTAAAACTGGTCATAAGGAATAACTTGTCATCCTGCAGGAATATCAGATACGAGACAGAGCACTTTAACCTTGCTTGACCTTCTGCTGCGCTCTTCAGCTAATTAGATGAATGGGAGTTTTATTGGTGTTTCTGACCCAGATCTTTTACATGGCAGTTCTGTGTATCTGAGCAGCCTAATGCCTCACGTTCTGTAAATCAATGCAGCTTTATCTA